ATATATATATATCCATCCCCATGTAACACCCCCCAGATGAAGATAAAGCCCATTATCTGTATCCTACAGGCCTCCCTCTTGCACCTCCTGGTCAGTACCTGACACTTGGTCAAAAGCAGACCTCTCTTCCACTTGCATCTTTTGTATCTGGAGGAAGGTTTAGAACTTTCGTACTTGAATTACACATTATATATTGTTTATTGTCAGGCTTTTGCTTGACATATTATGTCTATGAAATTCATCCACGTTATTCATCCAGCAGTATTTTCTTAATTTCAAATACCCAGTGTTCAAATTCGTAACTGCCTCATAAATGTCCCAGTTGCTCCTCACATTTTTTACTTGAATCAAGATGCAAGTTAAAATAGGCCTACACACTACAGTTGGTTGATATGTCTCTCAAGTCTCCTTTTAACCTATAGGTTCCAGACCTTTATCTTTTTTTCTTAAAATATACATCGTAAAGAAGCTGAGCTGTTTGTCCTGTAGAATTTCCCAAATCTGGAGTTTACTGCCTGCACACCCCTGATGTAATCTAGCATGTTCTTCTCTCCTCTGTATTTTTCTGTAAATTGGTGGTTGGACCTAGAAGTGTGATCAGGTTTCGGAGCGGTTTTTCTTATTTGTTTGTGGTCGGGGAACGCTCACTACCTTTTGCTGTCTCTTTGAAAGCTGCACCAAAGCCAGCTGGAGCTCCAGGAGGTGCGGCTCTCCTACCGACAGCTGCAGGTGAAGGTGGAGGAGCTCACCGAGGAGAGGAGCCTGCAGAGCTCTGCCGCCACCAGCACGTCCCTCCTGTCTGAGATCGAACAGAGCATGGAGGCTGAGGAACTGGAGCAAGAGAGAGAACAGGTGCTGATGCCCCATCAGTCCAGCACACGAGATTGCCTGGGGACTTCAGGAGCCCGTCAGCCCTCCCTTGTCCAGTTCCTATGGTTCCAGCTCCAGCCTGGCAAGGGCCTGTGGCCCTGCGCCTGTGTGAGCCCAGGCCTGCTGGCTGGAGCTGTCATGAAGCAGGCCCTGACCGGAGCATGTCTCTGGCTCACTGTTACCCAGTGCCTCTTAGGAAATGCTTGTCGGCTAATCCTCAGCCTCATGCCTCTTGCATTGACTGGGCTCTAGAACATTCATGATCCATCCAGTTGGCTTTTTTTCATTCTCCTCACAACCACTCATTCCCCTAATCATGATTCCCACCACAGTATCCGACTGTATAGAGAAATGGGAGATGGGTAGAGGGCTGGAGAGTTAAGAACTGGGAGTCCGTATAGACGTACTAGGCCCAGCATAAGTATCCATAGTTCTTGGGACAGGTGATTTAAAAAAGAAAAAGTCTTTCTGCCAGAACTAGGCTCTTGAGTGTCAGCATGTTGGGTTCCTACACTAGGACGAGATGAGTGGGGGCGGTCCTCCCTAGAGCCCATAATCAGGAACAATTCTCTGTGGGGCAGCTGAGACTGCAGCTCTGGGAGGCCTACTGCCAGGTCCGCTATCTCTGCTCGCACCTCCGGGGGAACGACAGCGCTGACTCGGCCGTCTCCACGGACTCCTCGATGGATGAGTCTTCGGAAACCTCATCTGCCAAGGACGTGCCAGCCGGCAGCTTGCGCACGGCCCTCAGTGAGCTCAAGAGACTGATACAGAGTATTGTAGATGGCATGGAGCCCACGGTAAGTGGCTGGGCCGAGAAGCTCCCCACCCCACAGGACCCGGCTAGTGGGAGGTTGAAAGCAAGCACAGGGGATGAGGTTAACCCCAGAAGTGGAACCTTAAAGAGTCTGTAGCAACTTTGAGCCCTTACTGTTTGGGAGGTCTGTGTGCTGGTGATCAGGCAGAGGGGCAGCGTCCAGGAATGGAAGTTCCAGAGTGCTCTTCCTGCAGATACTGGTGTATAAGTGGAGTCCTTTTTCCACATGGTTAAATCCAGGCCATGGTGGCCTCGAGTTCAAGGGCTTTCCTTAAAAGCTTTGAATGTAGAAATTTGAACCCCGGTGAAAACTGCAAGTTATTTTTCTGTAGCTCATTGGTCCTCGTGATGGGGTTAGCTGAGAATAGGCAAACTGTCCCGACTGGAAGCCTCTGCTGAAAGGATACAAGGGAGCACAGAACGATGAGAAGATCAGTAAGGGCCTTTTAGAATTCCAGATGTGGCTCTTGTGGAGATGAGGAGTGTTCCTATGGGCTTCCTGGGCAGACTGCGTTTCTTCTAGCTTTGTGACAGATTTCCATTCACACCCCCGGCTCTCAGGCAGTTGTTTCACTTTGAGTTCCATCCTCCTACAGAATAGTTAACGTCTTTCTACCCATATTACATGAAGTCATGAAAGGGTGGTTGTCCTTACCTGAACATGTCGTGTTGGTGTGTGGAAGGTACTGTACTGTGGAGGCTGGGTCACTGGGGGAAGGGAGAGGTCAGAGGGAGGTGTGCTGTTCATGCGACTTCCCTGAAGCCTGAAACAAAAATAAATGTCTAGCTAATGTTTGCAGATCAAAATTGGGCAAGAGAATCTCTCTGCTCTAACTCTGTCTTCCCTCCTTTGTCTTCTCTTTCTCTGCCTGTCTCTCCCTCCACCTCTCCACCCCATCTCCTCTATCCTGCTCTCCCCCAAACTGATCCATCCCTACCGTCTCACTTCCCCCTCTCTCCCACTAACCATCTCACCACACCCGCCCCTGCTCTCACCATCTCTGTGGTTGGTGGCTCTCTTTGGCTGTCAGAGCTCCCGGAGAATTGATGATGACTCCTTAGAAGAACAGATAAGGCAGACCAGTGAGGACTCAAGAGCCCTAAGGGAACTCATGGAGGGAGAGAGGGGTAAACTGAGGCAAAGCCTAGAGGAGCTGCAGCAACTCCACAGTCAGGTGAGCACCCCCATCCTCGGTCCAGTGCAGGGAATGTACCGGTGACCCCTCCCCCACAAGACTCTCTTGAGACCCTCGTGAGTTTCCCTCTCTCACGTCTCAGAAGTGGCTCTGCTCTCAGATTCTCAGAGGACAGTGACCTGAAGTTGAGGTGAGCTCAAGAGAAGAGCGCGGCCCTCTGGTTTAGCCCAAAGTAAAATTGTTAGGGATAAGAATAGCTGACCCTCCGTTTCCTCCGGCGACATGCTGCCTTCCACAGAGCCCATATTATCTGGTGGATTCTGACAGTTTAAAGTGCCACAGCTCTCAGGACATTCACGGATGTTTTTCCAGCAGCTTCTGAGCAGGGAAGTTTGCAAACCAAGGAGCAATTGATCTTTGCAGGCCTGTTCTCTCTTTGTAATGCCATCACCTCCGCCAGCCTGTTTTTCAGCTTTAGAAGCACTTACTGCTGCCCTTGCTGTTCCTTTCCTGTTTGATCATGACTTTATCTCTTGAGAATCCTGGAGAAGGGCATCTGTATTCCGATCTGAAAAGTTTTAAAAGGCTTAGGAGCAGCCCCACCCAGAAAGGAGCTTCTAAATTCTATCCTAGGAGATAAATAAGGCCCTTCCTTTTGACAGGGTTAAGTGTAGTGTGCTGTCCCACTTGGGGGGGGGGGGCACCAAACAGGTAGCATTTTAAACCCTGCCCCCACCCAGCCTGCCCCCTTCCTCCCTTGTCCAAAGCTGGTGGTCCCTTCCTGCTGCACCTGTTGCTGAGAGATGGAAGGTAAACCTGGCGTTTGTTTCAGTCCGTAGTTCTTAAGTGTAAAGGACCCTATAGAAATAAACTCTTTTGGGGGGTCATGCCCATTAGATTTCCTAATATAAATCTCTTCGAAGATGTTGGGAGCCCCACCTGCAGCTATTGGTGTAGTCTTCTTTCTGGGAGTGACCAGATAGCGAAGACAGAAAGATGCTATGAAAATGGTAGCTCATTTCTGGCCAAGCCCTAAAGAATGGGATTGAGCCGCCAAAGACATTCTCATGCCTAAAACCTGAGTCCCTCAGGCAGTCGTTTGGCCAGGGAGGAGTTCAGACCTAGGGCAGGTCTTCACACTGTAACAATACAAACAGGACAAAGTGGATCTGAAAACTCTTAGGGTTAATAAAAGTTTTGTTTACTTTAAAGCCTATTTAAATTTCTGTGGGGGTGTTCTGCTTATCAGCTCTTTGATATTGCCTGGGTTTTTTTTGTTTTGTTGCTTCTCAGAATTACAAAACTAGAAACAGCAGAAGGCATTATTCAGAAGCATAAGCAAGGTTCAAGTTGCTGAGGGTCTGGATGCAACTATTTCCGAACTTATCTCCTCCACCAGGGAATCTTCCTTAAAAGTTCAGCTGATAAGTGGTTTATGCCAGATAACCCATCAAGCAGATAGTTACACTCAGTCCCATGGGGTTAGAATTGGGCCTCTTGAATGGCTCATCTCTCCCCAGAAGCTTAGTCAAAGCAGCAGATCTCTTAGCCAAACCACACCCTTCCAAAGCCATCCCGTGGAAGCAACACTGACCTCCCGAGGCAGTGGGCGGGATGCAGACTGGATTCCAGAATGCCAGTAGAAATGGTAGCCAGCACAGCGGGCACAACATTCCTCATGCAGTTGGTGGGGCAGCTACCGAGCACGGACCGTGTGCCGCTGCTGCACTAGACCCTGACAAACACAGAATGAACAGGACAGCGCTCCTGCGCTCCGCAGCCTCTCCTGGAATTGTGAGAAGAGTCAGACCAGCTCTGTACCCTGCCATGGGGGGGTGGGGGGAGTGGGGGGGATGAGGGGGGTGGGAGGGGGGCGTGGAGGCAGAGTCCCAACAAGGTAATGCAAAACCAAAATTCCAGCAGGCAGCTCCTAGACTAGGGTGAGACCTCAGCCAGGGGCTGATCCAGTCTCCCAGCCCACTGCATTCCTACCAGAGAGTATGCTTTTTCCTCCGGGAGACTGGGCCAGAGGTAAAAAATGTGGGACCTAGAAGATGAAGTGATCTGACCCTCAGAAGCCTATCCAATTTTTAAAAGGGAGTCCAGGTTTCATTTAATTCATAATTGTGTTTGAGACCAGAATCCATAACCAGACTGCCCCACACCCTTGTGCCGTGGAGAGCCCCTTCCCCACCCTCACCCCCTTCCCCACGGCTTTGCTGGCCCCTGTTTCACCAGGGCTGACTGGGGTCTGGACGGCTGCTGAGAGGCAGGGAGGACCTTCAGAGCAATATAAAAATCAGTTATCTGTGGAGCCCCTCTGCCGATTCTCAAGCCAGTAAACCAGGCTGTGGGAGGTGCAATAAGAAACAGTCCCAGTCCTGTGTTTGGCTCCTTTATAGGGCCTGACAGGAGCGCTGGTCAGTTAGTCCAGAAGGGGCATGAAAGCACAGTGGAGCATGTAGTGGGAACACAAGGCCTTCGCTAATGAAATCTTGGTGACCCCTCCTCTGTGAAATCTCCCTGTGTTCTCTCTCCTCCATCTTTCTAGCCACTGCCCTGTTTCAGACCTTCACTCTTTCACACCCCAGCTTTGGTCATATTTCCCCCAGCCCACTTAACCTCCACAGGATTTGGATTGATCTTCCTGAAGCACAGCTTGAAATGAAATACCCTTACAAGTTTTGGATTGACTTCCTATCATTAAGTAGTGGGAAGCCTCTAACCCTCGTGGCCCCCCACAGTCTGGCTGCATTCTGGCCATTTAGCCTCTTTTCCTGTTGTTTCCATCTCCCCTCTTTTGTTTTAGCAGAATTGAACATGGGCTATGATCGGGCATGGCACACACTCCCTGTACCTTCCCCACATCTGGGCCTTTTCCCCGGCCCTTTGCCTCTGTCCAGAAGATTCTCCCTGCCACCTGTACATATCAGCCCTACTCAGCCTTCAGGCCTCACTTCCTCCTTCAAACTCCTTTGGTTCCCTCCCTCCTGGAGCCCCCGGCCCTGCTTTCTCATGGTTCTCTCATTCAACAGCTCATCTTCCCAGTCAAACCTTAGACCCCCACGAGGACAAGCTTGAGGTCCGACTTCTCTTTGTCTTTTCCTAAAGCAAATAATTATTGAATGAAGGGGCAAATAAAGCCCTAGATGTATGACTTCAAGATGTTTTCCTTGATCCTGTTCAGTCGTGAGGACACTACCTTATGTGGGAAAAGTGGATTTAGGGGTGGCTATAACCTAAGTCAGTGTATAAACAAGCCAGGTTAGTCCTCATGACGACCATCAGCGAGGAGGTTCGCACTGGTGCAGAGAAGAGGAAGGAGGAGAGCTTACCGCCAGGCACCGAGCTTGGTCCCTGATGTCATTAATCTCATTTGATCCTCACAACAACTTGATGATGGAACTACTTATTTTTACTCCTGCTTTTTATGAACAGTGTGGGCAGCTCAAAGAAGGTAAGTCCCTTGTTGTTTCTGAGGCAGATAGCTGATGGTTCTACCTTGACCAAGTTTTCCAGACCAAAGCAAAAAGCTCTTGTGGAGTTTTATCTGGAGCATATTAAATGTTGGCATTTCCTGCCTAGCATGTAGTTTTATCTGTAGCTTACTCAGCTTGTCTGGCCCACAGCCAACCCAAGGCCATGTTAGGGTTTATTTGGTCTGAGGAGGTCTGACTCTCTCTCTGCCAGGTACTTCCCGAGTCTTGAGTTCCTGGCCTACCAGGCTGCAGAACCTGCTAGTATGTAGGGTGAGGCTGGGTTTCTGACCAGCATCCTGTGGACTAGCTGCACCCTATGGCCTCTGCAGGTGCCCCAGCCTGTTCTTCCCTAGGGCTTCTAGCCCTGCTCACCACAACTGTCCCCACCATGAAAGCACAGAGCACCTGGTCCTGATGTTCCTCATCAGGCACCTAAGAGTGCCAAATCCATTGCCCACAGTAACAGCGGACTGTCTGGTATGCCTCTTCACTGTTGAGTATCCTCTGATTTCTTCCTGAGTAGCTGATTTCCTCTTCCCTGGTAGCTGGCAAATCTGCCGTCTCAGTCTAGGGAGTCCGAAGCATCTCCAGGGAAGTTTGATCCTGGGGCCTTTGCTCAATTTCAGTCTGTCTGAAGATGATTAGGCCTGGGACTGGAGTAGGGGAGTACATTGAAATGGTAGCATCTGTCCCCTTGTGAGAGGGCTAGAGCTATATACATGGATCCTCCCTTCAAAAAATGTCCAAGTACGTGCAATATTTAACAAGAGGGCAGGGCCAGTCATCCTGACTCCAGTCTGAGCTTATTGACTGGGAAGAAGGGGCTCACCCTTCCATTCATTCAACAAGTATTTACTGAGAGTTCTGCCAAGCAGGGTGTCCAGTTGCAAACAACAAAAACTCGCTCTGCTTAACTTAAGCAGAGAGAGAGGGAGAGACTATATTGGAATTAGGTCTGATAGCTTATAGACTTGACAGGAAGGCTGGAGAACTGAGCTCCAATACAGGAAGAAGCCATGGGAAGCGAGGCCACAGAAGGAATCTGCTGTCCATGTAATAATTTTACCCCTGGCCTGTGGCTTTGCTGACACCTCAAGGACTACAGTCCCAGGTGGGCTGTGTGATTGGCAGGTCTAGGTCACACACATATCCATGCCTGTGTACCTAGGAAATGATGTGTCTCTCCTCTTTTGGCTTCCTCAGTGGGGGGTGTATCCCCTGTCTTCCACCAAGACTCATGCAGCCAGGAATGTCCCCCAGATAGGAAAGGATTTAGGATGATGACTAGCCAAAAATATGACAACTGTCCACTGCACAAGCAGTTTGGGATCAAGCATTGAACACAGGCTCTGAGATGCACAGATGAATAGGCCGTGCTTCCTGCTACTGCAGAGCTCTCGTGGGTAGGGTAAGCTGTGGTCACTGAGCGAGCCACTAGGAAGGGCACGGTGCCACCAAAAGATGACTCCCAATGAATAGGCTGTGGGGCCATTCACTGAGGCATAGACCACAGAAAAGGTAGCAGGTTTAAAGTGAAAGATGATGACATCACATAGGTGTCTAAATTCCATGTGGCTTTGACCCGGGGAAGTTGAATGATCAGGCTGCCGCAAGTGCTGTCACAGAAATGGGTGCCAGGGCCCAGACTTCGGGTCCAGCCGGGGCCCTGTGGATAGCAAAGTTTCATGTTGAGTGCAAGATGGCTGGAAACAAAACTTGATTCCCTACCCCCAAAAATTTGTTTCCAAGCCCCGATGCATGTGTGGTCTTCATTAGTTCCCTGGGAGTGCCTTGTGGTGGAAGTGGCGGTGTGTGGTGGGCTGCCTATAAAGGGATCTGGCATGCTGACTGCCTTCCAGGGCTGAATTTCATCCCCCACGCCCCCCCACCCCACCCGGCCCTGGCCAGTGGGCTCCAGCCTAGCATGCAGCATGCTTTCTCCAGAAGAGATGGGCCTCCCTCAGAGCCAGGGGCCGTGGAAGCTACATGCCCACACCGCACACAGGCTCTGCACCTGCCTGGGGCTTCTTGTTCCTTTCTGTCTCTTTGAGGGAAACACTGCAGGCCAGGCCAGCAGCAATGATGTCACCACATCCATCCCTTTGGTCTCCTGTTAGGTGACACTGCTGAGTGTGGAGATGACTGCACTGAAGGAGGAGAGAGACCGACTCAGAGTGACGTCTGAGGACAAGGAACCAAAGGAGCAGCTTCAGAAGGCCATCAGGGACCGGGATGAGGCCATTGCGAAGTGAGTGGGTGTGGTGTGTTTAATTTTACTTGAATCACAAGCAACAAGAGTATATGCTCAGTTTTAAAAGTTAAAGCATACAGAAGAATCCAAAAGTGAAAGTGTTTCCCTGCTACCCATCCTCACCCCCAGCGTCTTTCTTCTCCCCAGACAACACTACTGTTGGAAGCTGGGTATATGTTTTTTGCAGATCTTTTTCCTGTACATGTGCAAGTGTAGAGCGATACAGTGGTTTGGGCATTTTTAAGTATCCATGGGCTGATGCTCTACATGGCTTGTGTTTTTTTCCACTTAGATCTTAGTTTTCCAATTTCGTTATATGTGTCTACCTCAACTTCTTTATTTTGAGGGGTGTTGTTTTTATTATGGACATTTTCAAGCATACACAAAAATAGAAACAAGTAAGATGAATCCCTAACTTCCTGTCTTTTGGTTTCAACCCCAATCAGCAGATGCCCAGTACTGTTTCATCTATATCCCCACCCACTTCGTCCACCACCACCCCCACTGGACTATATGAAAGCACATCACAAGATACTTTAGCATCTCATCCATAAACACTTCCGTGTGGATCTCCACCAGAAAAAGACTTTCTGGGGCGTCTGGGTGGCTCAGTCGGTTGAATGTCCGACTCTGGATTTTGGTTCAGGTCATGATCTCACACTGGGCATGGAGCCTGCTTGGGATTCTCTCCTTCTCCCTCTGCCCTTTCCCTGCCGGTGTGCACTCATGTTCTGTCTCTCTCTCTCTTTCTCTCTCTTTCTCTCTCTCTCTCTCTCTCTCTCTCTCTCTCACTCAAGAAAAGAAAAAGACTTTCTGTAAAACACACAACCACAGTACAGTTGTCACACTTGAAAAAAACGTATCATTTGTCTCCTAGAGCTTTTCTACATTCTGAGTTTGATGCATTCTCCGACTGCATTTCCAGTAAACTGGTCATATTTTATTCATGTTTTGGGTTTTCTTTAGCAGGGAAGAAATGCATTCTCTTACATTCAAAAGATTTGGAAGTGCATTGGCAAAAAAACATATTTGCATATTCCCCATTCCCCTTTAAATTATTTGTTATCATGCATTCAGTCTATCCTAGTTGCTGAGTGTACAGAGATAAAAGGTACTAAAAATGTGTCTGCTTATGGAGCCCTTTGCAACACATTTTGCCCTCTGCGTCACTTTAGTGTTTACAAAACACCTTCATCCTTTAACCCCCAGCCACAGCAAAGAATAGACATTTTTAATGCCCATTTTTACAGATGAGGAAACTGAGACACTGTCCCCAAGACCACAGCCAGTGGTGATCCCTGGCCTCCTGACTCCTGTCCCCACACCTTTTCCCCTTACCACCCAGGCAACTTGTCAGGAAACTAAAAAGAGGTCATTTGAAACAAATTGTAAGTAGATACTGTATGCCTTTTTAAAAAGTAGAAGGTGATTTCTGACTTTAAAATTGTAATTTCCCCACACCTTTCCCCTTCCACACACACGTGTCCCCTTCCTTCTGTTCTCTTCAGTCATTTCATCAGCTCCATTAGTTTTACTTTTTCTATCTGGCCAGGACCTTATGTCGACTGCTCGACAACTTCCAGTCCATTTAGGAAGTATGTTCCGCGAGGCTCCCAAACAAACCTGTGCATCTTTGCCACTGTATTGTGAATACTTGGTTTATTAGTGAATACTTGAATAGCAGTGTAATAATTTGGAGTGGGAGCATACTTTTATGATAACAAAGGGTGAAATTGTGTCATACAGTTAGGGAATAAAATGGTAAAATTAAGGTGCTATTTGTGGAAGCCTCTATTGGGAATAAAAGGCAGAACGACGTTAGAAATAGAGAATGGCTGGTCACCTTCTCTCAGCTGGACAAGCAGAAGAGAGCTGAACATCAAGCTCTGACCATATTCTGGCATCAGCATGGGAGGTGGGTGATCCAACCCGAGAAAGTACCAGGGCACAGGAGGGAAGACAGAACAGGAGTTATCCAGTCCCCTTCCCTTAGTAAGTAGAACCCAGCTCTGACATCTGGGTGACTGAGGAAGCCAGCAAGTCTCCACAAAACCTTGAAATGAATGTCTTCGTCTTTTGTCAGAGGAGGCCCAGTGAACCTCCTGGCATCTGACCAACGGAGCTGATTTGCAGATTGTCCTTGCTGAGTAGGGAGAACTCTGCAGTGAGGCCCCTGCCCTTCATGGACCCTATATATTAGGCTGGCCCTTAGGGAAGGTGTTAGTTAGATCACTCCAGTAGGATAGCTTTTTTTCTATCCGTTAGAAATTAAACTCTTAGTATACAGAATTGACACAACAGACCTAAGGAATCATTTAAATGTGAGGAGTGGCCTATACTTTGTATAGGATCTTAGGAGTTTTACAAGATGTTTTCATTTACATCATCTCTGATTCTGCATCCTGACCACTTTAGAATCACCTGGGGAACACCGTGGATGCCAGGGCCCTCTCCAGAACATTTCAATCTGAATCGCCTAGTTTGGGGCTGCTTGTTAAAAGTGTCCCCCAACCCCCACCCCATGATTCTAGTGTGTAGTCAGAGGAGTGAGAACCCCCAAGAAAAATAACTTCCCTCTCTTCACCAGCTACAAAAACCTTATTAAGGTGTTCTTTATCCCACACAGTAGATGAGTTTCAGAAAAGTTAAGTAACGATTTTATCTCCTTGCAGGTAAAAGGCCCTCACTAAAAACAAAAATGTGGGGCTAGCAGCCTAACAAAAACAAAAAAAAA